ATCGCTTAGGCGGTTACAGCGCCAAATAAGAAGAAGAAGAGAACACTCTTTAGGTGGCATCAATTGTTGATCTAAACTTTTTAAACCCGGTTTTGTGTTTCCGATAAACGGAGTGCTTTTTCAATTGCCATCTCCAGACGATTGCTTAGTAATTTTTCGGATGACATAGACTGCTTTTACACAGTTCAAGTATTGAATTCAATTCTGCTCGCATGTGGAAGAGAGGGGTTGAGAAGAAAAGGGACGAGTACACATGCGTCTGTACCGTCAAGTCCTTTCAACTTTCTTGCTTTGCTTTTGGCATTTTCGTTGCTTCCCATTTAAAGAACCAAAAACTTGTATTCAACAGAATTGAAACGTGTAAAAGCAAATAGAAAAACACAAAAGAGAATGAGCAAGAATTGCTTTCAAGTACTTGAATCATGTAAATCGGGTGTTAGCGATAGTGTCAAGCGTTGTGTGTATGCATGTATGTATGTACGCATGTGTGTGTGTGTGTGTTTGTATTATAGAACATTGCAAATAAAATTTGTGGTCTGCATTCAATTTTAGTCCAGTATTTCGTTGGTTGGAGCCCGCTACTAAAACTATTATTGTTTAAACACACATTTATCCTCTACTTAGTTCATTTGTTTTCAATTCTTAAGCCATCTAATTTGTTCATAGCTGTGAGTGCCAATATTTTGTTTCATTAATCTTCAATTTGACTAAATAAATTTCTATTCTAGTGTGCAACATGCTTCAAGTTCCTAAATTTTTATTTTCAGTTTCAACTTATTTATGTGCAAAATAATACCATTTTAATAGTTTAAGAAAGCTTTTTATGAACAATTTTTTATTCTTAAGTATTACAAGAGATAAACTATCCATACATCTATGAAAACAATAATATTATATAACTAAATTTGTCCGATGCTATCAACTATTAAAATTTAAAACATAGAAATGTATTAAACATTAACTCAGCGCCGCTTTGTAGATCGATTTCACATGATTTCATGGCTGAAATCGTTTGGAACACTCCATTTATTATTATTTCATTAAAAGGCTCTAACAGTTGCTGTATAAACACAACTGACACAATGCCAAAATCTCTCAGAATTCAACATTCAAAGGGTATATTTAACGAAGCCAAAAACAACAAAACTCCCTGCGACTGCTACTGAAACGCAGTGTTTTCGAAACCAAGCAACAGACTGCCGATTATGGACAGGATTGAAAAAATCGCTTTTGGAAACCTGATATCATAGCTGAATAGTTTCTACGATTCCAAGGATTTGTCCGCTAATAAGTCGCATCATTGGCTCGCTGTTGCACCCGGCAAGTCGCATCAAGCTGTGTATCGCAATCACGAGTCCAACCCAAATCTCTTTTAAATGCACAAAGTATATCAATAATTTCAGTTCCAAGCAATGCAATAAACTACATAATTAAATGTTGAAGCCATACGGCAACACTTTGATTTGTTCATGCAAACTCGATCTACATAAGTTCTTTAAACATCCGTTAAACAATACTCAGGTATAAGTATTTCAGAAATAATTGTAATAAAAATTTAACTTTCGAGATACTGGAAGTGAAAAGAATACTTAAAGTATTTATATTAATGTAAACTTCCGCCAAAAGGCAACTACATATGTATTTGCTACCTCTTCCATTAACATGTTTTTGCCAATTTAAGCTTCAATTCCGCTTCAAAATGCGAACAATTGTAATATCTATCTGCAGTTTAAAAACATGGCATTGATCATACTCCATCATTAAGCTACTTAAAACTAATTTCAGCACGCAAAATAATTTAATTTGTTGTACACAAAAGCATTGCTCAGCGTTTACTTCTTTTAGATTTTACTAAACAAATAACAATAGCAATCATAGCAACTATTTGTCTAATGTAAGCATACTCATGCCATTAAATTTCACACTCCCATACATTTGCATACATTTAAACACATGCGTAAGTCCATACATACATATAGAATATATGTAATAAATACAAGTATGCGCACATTCTATAATTATGGTAAACTCTTATCTTTAATCTAAAACTATTTATGTAAATATTTGTAACTTAAATTACTTTCTATATATTTTGGTAGTTTGGTTGCGTTTAATGCCTTAGTGTATTCTTGTGTATACATATCTAAATATGTTAAACATGTTGTATTATTATCATTGTTCTTCGATTCTAAACTTATGTTTTGTTGAAAGCAATTCGATACTTTTGTGGCTAATAAGCATTTCCTCTAACGTAATGAACATTAGCTGGTTTCCTAACATTTAATCATTGCTACTCATTTAAGTTTGTCACATACCAATTATCCTATGATTATTAGCTTGTGTTGTGTTGTTGTGCATACATACGTATGACAATTAGGTAGTTTGTGTGTTGCCTTTAGTTATTTAGTTAGTATGTACGTAGGTGTTTTAAGTAACTTAAGCCGCAAGTACTACATAGTTTATGAAGATTTTGCATTTGGTTGTAGTACTCCTTTAAATAGTTTCTTCTTAGGTATTATTGCGTCCTACGCACACTTTGCGTAACGCCTCCAGCTCACTACGTTTCAAACGTATTTTGAACATGGCTTCTATAAAACTATGGCAGTTGGTAACAATGTCACCTTGCATCATATTTTCACGAAATAAATTCGCTAATGCGGCGATATCATCGCAACCGAGTATTGCTGTTTTATGTGTTAGGAATAATGCTAGCGCAACGCGAAAGACAATCTAAACAAGACAAAGGAAATGGAAAAAAGAGTGCTCGAATTTAATAGACAAGTGGTTCATATGTTTGTGTGGCCTACCTTATATCCCTCCGCAAAGACACAGTCCCAAATACGCAGCACGGTTTCAACAGGAAGCACCTCAGCGAATATGCAAATGAACCATTTGCTCGCTATCACAGCATATGGTAAGCCTGAAAGGAAAAAGGAAATTTGTTTAAACTATAACATATTTTATTCCAAGCGTGTTGATATTTTCAATTTGCAAAGTATAAAACTACCCCTAGTAATCAAACAACCTTAAAATTAGTGATTTTAATCGAGCAAAAGTATGATGATATTGATAACTACACAAATCAAAGGGCTATCGGAAAGTACTTTCGTATCGAATGTGTTTCTGAGCTCTTTTTGCTCCAATATAATTTGTATTGAGAAGGCAGGCTCGTCGAGGTATGCCGTAACCTAAAAATTCAATTTCGAATCGAGTTTCTATCGACGACGTTATTTGGACTCTGTTTTAACAATAATTCGACTCCCCTTTAACCTTCTTCGCATAACAGATGTCTTTCAAGAAGTATGCCATCATCCAATTATACCAATTATAAAAGCGTGAACAAGGGATTGACTACATGTTGCAAGGATAAACATACTATACGACATTATTTAATTTACAGAACACTCAATATGGCTAAACTATTTTTTAACACTGTAGAAATATTGAAAAACATTCCATTCTT